GCCCGAGTATATTTGGGAAATCCCTCAAGGTTTCGAGGATAATCGTAACAATATGTATATTATCCGGGTACCCGGGCAAATCGGATAATAAAAACCCCGGGATCTTTGTGTTAACGCAAACTCATCACAGCAAAACAGTGCAGCTGTCGTAGCCCTTATAGAGAATTTACACGAGGCGATTTTTCAGGCAACGTTTAGTTGAAAGCAACAATCGCCTGGTGTAAACGGCTTTTCAACTAATCGCTTTCAATGAATTTGGTCGGCTGCCTACTTTCCAAGGCGAATTAATATAAGGTGATAGCAGGAGTACAAAAACAAAAATTTACATGTATTTTGCATGGTGTAATAATAACAAGGTGTTGTCAGTAACTTAACCTCACTTTTTCGGCAGGTCTATTCCGGTCACGCATTTTAAGGTACTAGAAAAGGTACTAATTATTTACTACATTTAATACGTTGGTGCATACTATTTAAATTAAATGTAGAAAAATGTATAATTACAGGCTTATAAGCCTGAATATATGTTTGCATCGGCAGCTCCACACAGCTTGGACATATATTGTATCTTTAAAAAAGTAAAAGCCGTAAAATAAGGCAATTTCCTATAAGACTGTAAATGATTTTCTAAACAGATTAAAACACATAAATATCGATAATATAAGCGAATTCCTAAGTTAACCATGCAGCCACTCTATTCTAGTGTATCAGTAGTTGATTTGGCTCAATATTATGACAATGCAGCAAAAATTATTTAATATAAAAAAGCGCCTTTCCATACGATTTCTGGGTACGTTTTTTTCCATTGATAAATTGAAAATTATACAAATCCAGCAATTTTAAATATTAATATTGTTCTGAAAACACCAAGTTCTTTATAAATCGCGGTAAAACGAATTACTAAAATGGAGTATTTTAGATACTATTTCCCAACGAATAGTAGTATAAAAATTAAGATCGGCAGCACTGAAAATAAGCATGCCGATCTTGTAAAAAATCACACCAAACACGCCGCTACTGACAACACCTTGTTATTAGCTCTGATCCAGTACTCCACGAACTTACAGGATTTTAGACAAACTTGCAGGAAAAATGTTCCCGTACTCCGAAATCCTCCAAAATCATGTAAATGAGAGCGACTTTTGGAGAGTTGTGTAGAGAATGAAGTTGCAAGATTTTACCCGAACTTTTTCTTCTGGTAAAATCATGTCAAGCAATCACTGGTTGACGTTTTTACAGGAAAAATTGTCTTTTTGTGCCCGTACTTTTTGTTGTTACTCACTTTTTACTCTCACTTCAGAGTAATTTTGCTGTTTGACAGTTTTACAGGACTTTTCACGAAAAGTATTGGATCAGAGCTATTATTCCACCATGTGTATTTTGTTTTTGCTTTTGCGGCATAAACTGTCAAAATCTGTAAGTGTGTGTAGAAATTCAAACAAAATTTTTCAATTTGATATCAGAAGCCGTGCGGCGAAACACATACACAAAATCAGCTGAGCTAGTAACACCACCTTATATAAATTCGCCTTGCTACTTTCGTTCAACTTTATATTCAACTAATCGCCTGTGAAAGTTGAATCATGTAAATTCCCTACTATAGATATTTTCTGTCCACAGCAATTCGATATGTTGTTATTTGATATTAGAATCAGCATCAAAAATTACGGTTAAGGCGAATGGTTTCCAATATTAAAAACTAGTTTTTATAGTGCAGATAGAGCGTGTTAAATGAAATACCTCGATATGTATATCATACCCTAAAGCAGCTTTCCAAAGACAATTCCCGTAGCCATCGTAAATTTTGAATGATACTCTGTACTGATTCATCGGTTACTCCATTCACGCAGTACCCTAAGTTTAGAACTCGCAGCTCCGGAAGGTTTTTAGCTAGAACCTTGATGGCCTCCTCGCATACCTGTATATGACTCATATGAAGAATCAGCAATGTTACATTAAGTGTAGCTGCCACTCCATTTGTAAGACCGTCCGATTGTATACCATCACAACGTGATACATTCAAATGCTTCAAGTTCTTTAATTTGTTTAAAAGAGACGCTCCTTCATTTGAAATATTAACACAACCAGCAATATTAAGCTCTTGTAGCGAAGAGACACTTTTCACAATTACATCAAGACAACTATCGTTCACGCAGATTGTGTCCGATAGATCCAGTACCAATAAATTTGTTTGCGAAGTTAAAAGTAAATTGAGAGATATTGCATTTAATTGCCTACATTTCGCTAGTCCAAGACGATGCAAATGGAGTTCTCCCCTTTCCAGCTCACATAGAGCAGATAGAGCTGGGGCGCCGATCAATGTATTACTAAAGTTAAGGCAACGTATATGCTCGTGATGCAATGCTAATATGCGAATAATGAACTTAAAGGTCAATATAGATTCGCATGGTAATATATCACCTTCATTTGGATAAAATCGCCGTTGAATCGCGTTGTGATAAGCTATGTGGCAACCGGACAAATCTAAAGAGTATATGCTCTCCATCATTTCAGTCAAACGCATTAAAATTGCATCCGATATATACTGATTATCGCTCAGGGAAAGGTGATGTATATTTGCAAAGCTTAAGCCCGGTTCATTTTCTAAAAATGAACCTGACATAAAAAGCTGTGAACAGTGCGTTATTTTTAACGAAGTTATATTTGGTAATAGCCTCATGATTTCGCAGAACTGTTTGACTCCAATATCTACATTGTCAAATATTATTTCCTTAGCCGTACTCCCAATGTGGCTCATAGCCTGTTGCACTGGTCCGAACGAGATTTCCTCAAAGCAGAAGTTCCGAAAAGGCATTTCACTTTTAGCGTAGTCCTTTGCCGGCGTAAGCATGTCTGATAGACATAATTTAGAAAATCGAACTAAAACTCGTTTAGTGAACTCCGTATTAAATGTTGCTTCACGCCATCGTTGGCATGTTCTACCTGCTATTTGCATGTCTGCAGCACTCAAATATCGAAAAATATGAAGAATTATCTGTAATTAATAGAGAACTTGTTACAGCAGTGAATTCATTTGGGGGAAACTTTCCTTTACAGCCGATCGTTGTGTGCGGCGGGGGAGGGGCGTGGCACTTCGCACACCCCATTTACTCCCAAATGCCTAGGCCCCTATAGGTTTCTAGGGAGCCTTTACAAAAATGGGCAAAAATCACAATTTTTCCGTGTTCCGTGTTCCGTGTTGCCTGACAAGAGGGGCCAGGCTCCAGAGGCTTCTATTGGAAAAGTTCATTCTGCGTAGGCGGCGGAAAGGTGTTCTCCGCAAAAGGTGATCAGCCCCTCTTCTTCGGCAACACAGAAAGGAGAAATCTACTTAGTGAGGGTTATAATTCATAACTAAGTAGAATTCTCCTTTCTGTGTTGCTGAACACCTTTTGCAGAGAACAACTTTCTGCATAGGCGGCCTTCGGCCACACTTAGGGATTATAACCCTCACTACATAGAATTCTCCTTTCTGTGTTGCCAAAGAAGAGGGGCTGAACACATTTTGCAGAGAACACCTTTCTGCGTAGGGGGCCTTCGGCCGCACTTAGGGATTATAACCCTCACTACGTAAAGTCTCCTTTCTGTGCTGCCGAAGAAGGGGGGCTGAACACCATTTGCAGAGAACACCTTTCTGCGTAGGCGGCCTTTGGCCGCACTTAGGGATTATAACCCTCACTACTTGGAATTCTCCTTTCTCTTGTATTGTTTTGTACAGTACGGCAACACATCTTATGTGTCAGTTTGCAACCATGTGTTATTGCAAATATGGGTGCAATTTAATGTAGTTTACAAGTTAATAAAAGTTGAATTAAAGAGATTTATATACAAGATAAAATAAAATAAAAGTGTGTAAAATATTAGGTAGAGTATTATGTGCATTTATATTTATGAAAGTATGTGACAAAAACACTTTTTGATAAGAAAATCAAGTGGAATGGCTTAAGAAATTTTAACAGCAAGGAACTTATAAACAATCATATTGTTTATATTTTTCGGTATACATGTTTTAGAGGATACCTCCCTTAACATCCTGACCAAGTTTCGTTTGTTAATTCCACCAGGTATTCTTAAAACAAAAGGTGCGGCTGAATACTAAAGCCCACCCAAGTTTTTCAGACCCTCTTCCTCGGCAACACAGAAAGTAGAATTCTACTTAGTGAGGGTTATAATCCCTAAGCGTTGGCAATGGCCGCCTACGCCGAAAGGTGTTCTCCGCAAAAGGTGTTCAGCCCCTTTTCTTCGGCAACACAGAAATGAAAACTCTACTTAGTGAGTGTTATAATCCCTAAGCGCGGCCGAAGGCCGCCTACGCAGAAAGTTTTTTCTCTAAAAAAGGTGTTCAGCAATTTATGGATTGTCTTATTGTCTGGGTTATGCTTTACACCCTCTGCGCAGAAATATTGTGGATGGAATAGTCGGATGAGCATTGAAAAGTATATTTATACACATCTTTTATAAAATTTATTTAAAGGGAAAACTTGGGTATATAAATTTGAAACGCAAGGTACGGGGAATGCTCAGAAGAACCGTGCATTAATTTCTTTTAAAACGGTATATTAACATTTACAATCGCTTCACTAGTTTTTGACATATGTATTATGGTTTTTCAAAAAACCATTTCCATCTGACCTTCAATATCTCGCTTATTGTTAATTTCCGCAAGGAAATTTAAGTATGTTGTTGTTGTTGTTGTAGCGGCTACTAAGCCCCGCTCGGGGCGGTTCATCCATCAACGTTGTCGTCAATTTCAGCTAGGGGGAGGCCCAGGAAGTGTGCGACTTCCACAGGGGCTGTCCATAGGGACAGGGGCGTTAGCTGAGTGGGGTTCTCAGGGCATGTGAAGCGGTGCCGGGAGTCATGTGGCGACTCTCCACATGCCGGGCATTGGTTGGCACATTCTCGTTGATTCTACTCAAGTAGGAGTTGAGCCTGCTGCAATAGCCAGAGCGAAGTTGCGCTACTGTAGTGCGGGTCTCCCGAGACAGACAAAGTTCTGTCCCGTCCACGTCCGGTGGTTGTGTGCCTAGAACGGCATTCACAGGGCGGGAGTCTACATAACTTGAGACTGATTCCCTGTGAATGCCGTTCAGGGCCTGTCGATAGCTTGACGGGTCCAGAGGTTGTTTAATATACCTACTGCCGGCCAGCGACTTGAGGACATTGTTGCGGCTCTGTACTTTGTTGACAATTGCGGTTGTATGCGCCGAGAAGGAGAGCAGACTGTCGAAGGTAACTCCGAGGATTTTCGGGTTATGCACCGTCGGTATTGTTACGCCATCGACGTGAATATCCAGTTGCAGTCTGACCTCCTTCGTCCAGGTGATGAAAAGGGTTGCGGAGGATAGGGCAAAGCTCCTTGCATTGAAGAAGCGAGAAATTTCGGCGAGGTAACCGTTTACTTTCGAGCACAAGTCATCAATTCCATTCCCAGACGCCATGATCGAACAATCGTCAACATAGGAGACTATATTAACACCCTCTGGTGGCTGAGGAAGCTTTGAGATGCAATAATTAAACAGTAGCGGGGACAGGACACCACCCTGTGGTACCCCCTGTTTAATTTTACGTGGCTTGCTAGTTTTGTCTCTGAAAATTACTGACGAGTGTCGACCATTCAGGTAATTCGCCGACCACCGTTTGAGTCCCTGTGGGAGTGAGGAGGCGTCTATATCTTCTAGTAGCGTTGAATGACTGACAGTGTCGAACGCCTTGGACAGGTCCAACGCTACTAGAATAGTTCTCTCACAGGGGCGGTTTCGGTTTAGGCCACGAGTTATCTGAGTGTTTATGGCGTTAAGTGCTGTTGTTGTGCTATGCACTTTACGGAACCCATGTTGTTATCGGGCGATAAGACTCTCCTTTGTTGGCTGGTTTCCCCGGTTTGAGCAGTGGGACCACTCTTCCCATTTTCCAGATGTCTGGAATGACGAGAGTGGCCATAGACAGGTTGAGGACCTCCGTTAGGTACGCTACTCCCGCAGGACCCAAATTTTTCAGCATCAACATGGATATTCCGTTGGGTCCAATGGCTTTGGAGGCTTTCGCCTTCCCGATAGCTACCCTTACCTCACCGCTGGTAAAAACAAGAGGCGCACTAGGTTTTGGCATTTTGTGCAGCCTTCTGGTCACTCGACGTTTGGCTTTACCCACCGGAGGATGCAGAATGAACTGCCGGCTAAAATAGCTCGCGCATCTCTCCGGGTCCGACGAAGCGTGGTCACCAAAGTTTATCTCGACTCTGTCGTCACGCCTCGTCGGGTTGGACGACCTCACGGTTGACCAAAGCTTGCTCACACCAGAGGCGAAGTTGCAGTTCCTCAAATGCTCTTCCCATTTCTTCCGCTTATGTACGTTCACATGTTGCCGAATCTCCGAATTGAGATCCCTAATACGGGGATTTCCGGGATCGGCCTGACGAAGGTTGTCGCGCTCATCATCTAGAACAGCCGCTTCGGCAGGAAAGTTCGGACGTGGATCCTTAATACATCCTGCTGGGATGAAGCGAGCTGCAGCAGCGGTGACAACCCTGCGGAACTTACGTTCACCTACATGAACGTCGGTTGGTATGGGTAGTGCAGTGAAGGCGCCCTCAGTAACATCCGTGAAGCCTTTCCAATCAGCATTAGAAAAGTTGATATATGTCCGGTGTTCCGTGGAAGCAAAGTGGGTTAGTTTATCGATCGAGATGACTATGGGCAGATGGTCTGATGCCAAAGACAGCATAGGTCGCCATGATACGCTGTTTATCAGACCAGCGCTGACTATTGTTAGGTCTGGCGAGTTGCAGGAGCTGCCCATAATCCTATTGGGTGCGTCGTCGTTCATTGTGCAGAATGTCGAATCGTCTATCTGCTCAGCCAGATGTATTCCCCTACGATCATTTGACAGGCTTGAGCGCCAAAGTTTTCGCCTCTGAGTAGCGCACCTGTTTCAGGGTGATATCCTGCCGGGCAGCTCGTGACAGGGGGTATGTATACGTTAAATATTTCGAGGTCAACATCGCCTGACCGGATAGCAATACCCTGACATTCTAGGATGGTATCCCTGCGGTGGATGTCTGCTTCAATAAGACGATACTGCACGGTGTGGTGCGTCATGAACGCTAAACCTCCACCATTGTCTCGCTCGCGATGTCGACGGTGCACGTTGTATCCGGCGCAATTCAACAGGGTTGAATTGCCATGCAACTTCGTCTCTTGGACCGCAGCTATTAATATTCCATGCCTTCCCATAAAGACAGTTATCTCCTCGACCTTGCTCTGGAGTCCGTTACAGTTGAATTGTAGCACCTTTGTGTGCCTTGGGAGATGTTAAAGAGTTGTGTTGCCTGCCGGCCCCCTGCTGTACGTGCTGCAAAATGGGGTGCTGCCTTGTGGTGGTGGTTGGCGGCGTCGCGGGGGAGGGATGCGACGGGGCAGCACAGCAGGGGCCCACATAGTCAATCGTCCAATCTCGCGTTTTGCGAAGTCCTGAGCACGCCCTAAAGTGGCACCAGCCGAGGCAAGAGTTGCACTTGACTGATGTCACGTTACGGTATATACTGGACTGACAAACAGAGCAGATTGTCGGAGGGACTAGGAGTTGCTGGCGGCGGTGTGTGGGTGCTATTGTGTTTCTTTGTGTGTCTATTGTTGTGTTGTGTTGGGGTGTGGGTGTGTTGATTGTGTGCTGCCCTGCGGGTGGTGGTTTGCCGTGGAGGCGGTCCGGTTCGCACAGCATGGGGCCACGAACGACGTGGTCCATTGCCGGTGCGTACGTAGGCCCGAGCAGTTACGGAGGTGACTCCACCCGTCACAGGCATTGCACCCGACCGAGGTGGAGTTTGTATGCAGTCGTCTCTGGCATACGCAGCAGGTGTAGATTTCTGGCCCTGGGTTTGACTCTATGCCAGCCCTGAGCAGAAGGGTACGGAGAAGGTGTAGCCCTAGAATTGAGCAACGTTCGATGGATTTCGCCGACCCAAACGGGGTTAGATCGCCGAAACAACAGCCC